ATTACTAGCCTTGCTGCGGCTCCTCTTTTTCCTGGCTTCCCCTTGTGATCGTTGTTCGTGTGTTTGCTCCGCGATTCCTTCTCCTCATTCTTTAACTCCTATTCCTACTTCGGCTTCGCCTATGCTTCCTCGTCGGGCTCCTGCTGACATCTTCTCTTGTCTCTTTTGAATGATTGCTTCCGGAGTTTGAATGTTCAGCTGTAGGTTATAACGAAATGTATCACCGAATGCTCTAGATAATTTTATATTGAGTTCATGCTCAGAATACCATGAAGCGGTTTTTTGGTTTAGAATTTAGAAGCAACGCATTTGAAAGATGAACGTAAAAGCTCGAAAAACATCTTACTTTGTTTCGAGATCTTTGTTTGCTTTGGAGCGTTTGAGATCACGGGAATCGATGGCTGCAGCGGACGCAATTCATTGGAAACCATTTTGGTGACGTTTCCGCCTGAAAATTTGTGAACCAGAGGAGTTTCCAGGGACGATCGTGCCACTTCTATTAAAGAAAGCCAATTTTTTCCAACATATGTGATGAGCAAATCCATAGCCACAAGAGTGGTGAATATGGAAAAAAAATGAGCAGCAAGGACCAACGACATATTTTCGGACCTGTTTCCGTCAAAATAGTATATTTCTTAACCCGTAGCATTATATCACTCGTCTTCGGCTTCTGTTATAAACATTCAACGCGCTCAAAAACATATTTCGCGCAAGTTTCGAAACCCATTTTTCATCACAATGCGTGGGAAATGTGATTTTGCGCGCAAAATGTTACATTACACACACGGTGATGAAATAATATATTTCTCACCTAGGGAGGTAAAGTAAAGTTACCCACGTGCAGAATTACCGCCCGAGCCGACGGCGAGCCTTCTCTATTTTACCTGCCGTGGCGAGAACATCATTTTTCTCCCCGGCGTAGGAGCAAAGTCAGAATTGCCTTGCTCCCGCTGAGAAGAAAATATTTTTTACCTTGCTGCGAAGTCCCAGTGAGGAGTCCTTGCTAATGCTTGAGTTGTAACGTGGTATTTTTGATTTCGACCGTTCGTCGGTTTTTGGAATGTCCAGACGAGAAGTAACCATTGGCGAGGCAAGAGTCTGTCTTTTGTAAAAATTCATTTTATACTGTTTTTGCATTTATTATTTTTTTCATTATATCGAGTCATGTTTCACCGCTCATCTCGGACTCATCGTGGGATTTTGGATCCTGTCACATGACTCTCTTTTGTTGGAGAACGCCAGGAGGTTCGGGAAAGAGTTTGGAGATTCCGCCAGATTTGGGGAATTTCCTGGAGAAACTGAGAGGTGGCGCCAGCGGCCGGAGCTAGAATTTATTTCGCTCCAAATCAGCAATTAGGCGGAATTTTAACGACGAAATTTTTGAGCTCTATAAACTAGAAGAATTGGACCGAGTTTAAGAAAAATAATTTTGGGTTTGTTGATGGTTTAGGAGTCCCCAATATTACTTATGGCAATTATGTGTCAGTTGGACTCCTATCAAAATTATATCATTAAGTTGATTGGCTGTGTTGATTAACAGCCAATCCGAAAACTCTTGTGTCGGTGACGAGCCAATCGCCCAGGTGAGGAAATCCAAGCTTGAATGATGGGCCCAAGCTTGGATCAGCCTGGGATACCAAGCTTTGGAATTCCTAGCTTGATCCAACCTTGATTTCATGGGATTACCAAGGTCCAACCAAACTCGGTGATACAAATGAGATACAAGCTTCTATACCAAGGTAAATCCGATGATGGTTCAACCTTGGTATTCCGAGCTTGAACCCCACCACGTCAACCAAGCTTGGCCTAATATAGGATACCTAAGTAATCCCAAGCCTTGGAACTCCTAGCTTGAACTAATCTTCATCCTATGACCTTACCATGGTTTAACCAAGCTTGGCGATACTAGGTAAATTCAAGCTTGGATATCAAGGTAGTTCTGATGATACTTCAAGCTTGATACTCCGAGCTTGAACTCCATAACTTCAATTAAATTTAGTCTATTATACTTAGATAATTGCGAGATATTTAATTCCTAGGTTGAGCTTACTATTTCAGACTTAAACTCAGGAATTCGAATTAAACCTAGAGTAACATACATTAAGTCGATAAATTCAAACTCTACTCTTTTACAATACTTAAAACCTGAGGTGGCGTAATCTACTGTTGACCACCACTACTGTCTCAATCGTTTAATTACGTAGTAAAACATAACCTCAAGAAAAAATGTCTTCAGGAGTTCGTAAATTTTGTGAATCTGAGAAAAGAGTGGGGAAATGTCGTTTTATTAAAAAAATGAAAGAATTAGATGATCAAGTTGTTATCAACAGTGATGTTCAAAAGGAAGAAACGAATGGAAAAATCACAACTAAGTCTGCAAACAGTGGAGATGACGATGAGTGGGTAGACTGTAATGAATATAATTATGAGGATCTAAGCGTAACTATTGTTGAAAGTGAAAACAGAGGCATTCCATCAAGTGAGAGGCTTTCATTGAACTCAGAGAATTTTCATTTCGACAAATCGGATAGCTCGTATACGTCGGATGGTGCTGATGGTATGAATAAAATCTTTGGTCTGGAGCAGGTTTTGACTGACAATCAGCAAGAGAATGAAATTATCACTGAGGAACATGGATTCATTAATTTGTCTACTAAACAGAAATCCCAAGGTTTTAAGGACAAAATATACAAGTGGACAGTGGATAATCTAGCAGGCACTAAATTAAAGGTTTTCAATGAGCTTTTTCAAATTCTAAGAGATGAAGGATACAGTGAGCTACCTCGCACAGTTTCTGAATTTTTAGGATTTAACCACAAAACCAACGTAAAACAGTTAATTTCTTCTAAAGGAACTACCGGTAGTTATGTATATTTAGGCATCAAAAATGGTTTGAAGACTCGAATCGACCCAGTGGTTTATGACGAAGAAACAATCTGTGTGTTAGTATTTACCGATGGAATGAAAATGTTTAGACCTACGAAAGCACAGTTGTGGCCAATCGTTATGAAGATCTTCCATCCAAAATATGCTGTGACTCCATTTGTTGTAGGTGCGTACTACGGTCCATCCAAGCCAAAGGATGTGTCAATGTATTTGGAGGATTTTGTAGGAGAAATAAAGCTATTAATTAATGAAGGTGTAAAAATATATGGACGACAATATAAGTTCAAATTAGAAGCGATAATTGCTGATAGCCTAGCCCGAGCATTTCTGAAATGCATCAAAGGCCCAACCGCTTTTTTTGCATGCGAGCGATGCACTATTGAGGGGAAAACTGTAAATAAAAAAAGGATATATACTAAATTAAATTGTCCATTACGCACAAAAGAAAGTTTTTTAAATCAAGTTCAAACCGAGCACCATCTTAAAGATCCAGTCAGCAAGCAACCTCTTGTCTCACCATTAGTTGATATTCCTGGATTTGATCCAATAAACGATATACCTTTGGATATAATGCACCTACTTTATTTGAATGTTATGAAAAATCTTGGAGAAAAATGGATTAGCAAGGAAAGAAATGAATATAAAATATCGAAAGAAAAATTGCAAATTTTCAGGACATCCATGGAATCGCTTACACCATTCATGCCAGATGAATTCCAGCGAAAAAAATTTGACGTTGACGATTTTTGCCACTGGAAGGCAACGCAATATTCTTTTCTATTGCTTTATGTGGGTGGTATTGTTCTCAAAAATGTGCTTGATGAGGACAGATATAACCATTTTCTCTTATTGCATGTTACATCTCGTATTCTTTGCAATACTGAATGGGTACTCAATTATACAGAAATGGCAGTTAAATTTCTTGAAATTTTTGTACAATTACTGCCAACGTATTACGGATCTGACTCACAAACGATGGTTTTCCACTATCTTGCACACGAAGGAGATGATGCCAGATATTTTCAAAAGAGTTTGACATATTATTCTGCTTTTTGGGGGGAGCATTACATTGGGAAACTGAAGAATCTCATTAGTTCTAAAATTAAAGTGCTTCCACAGTTAGTTAATCGACTTCGAGCTTTAGATTCATCTGAAAATATAAAAATAAAGAGGTGTGAAACAATTCGAGATGTTGTTAAAAGTAAAGCTGTTCAAATCACAGAGTTGAATGGACTAGAATTTTTTTCTTTCGATTCAGTAACATACAACGATAAAATCGTGAGTTCTGAGCATCCGAATAATATTGTGCGACTCTGCGATGGTTCTATTTTTATGATTAAAAAATTGTACAGGAAGTGCGAAATGAATGGTAGAGATCTCGATGATATTTGTGTAATGGGATTCAGAGTGGAGAAAACGTCTGATGCATTCAGAACTCCTTGTCCATCCAGAGATATCGGAATCTATAAGATGAGACGATTTCTTACATCGTCAGAATTTATACCACTTCGAGATATAGAACAAAAATGTGTTATGATTAATATTGCGAATCGAGATTATGCGATATTGTTATTGCATTAATAGATTTATTTTTCAACAGTTGTTCAAATAAAAATTTGAATTCACCGATTCGATTGACTTTTTTGTAGTTGAGTAATTCAATGAGAGAGAATAATGAAAGAATGGGTGAATTATCAGAAATGTGAAACTGAAATGGAAAGCATGTATAAGTTAATAAATTTTTTTTTTGTATTTGCATAGTGATTTGGTTCCGAGATATAACCTTTTCTCCAAAAAACTTCCAGTTCCAGAATAAATATTTTGCTTTCTAATTGAGGACTAATCCGAGGTAATGTTGGATGTATCCTTATTATCACATGCCATAACCACAAAAATATTTTATTGACAATTAACATCTGAGCTCGGCGTAATTATCAAACCACCGCAAGCAGCTATTGAGATTTCGTGTGGCATACGGTCGATCATACGATCGTACGAAAGCAGGTAGGGAGAAGCTTCTGGTGGAGTGATAAGCATTTTTTAATTGAGGGGTTCGACCGGCGTTATGCAGCATGTGAGAGGGGGTATCCCATGCTGTCGGTCATGTTCAGGGAATAGTGCCGCGTCAAGCTTTACGTTATACGTATTCAACCTGTTTACCGCTGGAAAAATACTATAATTGTTGCATTTTTTTACACGCTTTTGTTAGTAATATTATATTGTGATAGTGAGGAAAGACGATGCTCCTGATCCTTGGTCTTACGCAGTAGAATGGCCGCCATTTGAGGTTTCCCTTGTTTTATGCAAATACACACGCACGTGGTATTCAGTTGTAACCATCGAGTTTCACTGCTATGTACTGAACTTGAAGTTAATCCATATATGAAGACAATTATCGAAGTGAGTAAATTTTAATACATCAATACTTAATTGTTTCTCTCTCCATTGCTGTCCCCTTTGTGGTATAAATATGTTCTGCCTAACCTCAAAACGTTGTGGATCAAAATGTTAAATATTCCTTTAGCATGAGTGAAAAAATGACGGAGGCCGATTCCTATCGAATAGTTGAACTTCGTGGCGAACGAAATGAGAAAGGGCAGAAAATTCTCGAAATTGTGGACATCAAGTGGATGTACGAAGAGGATACAGATGCAAAGCGAGGCGTCTGCTATTTCCCTCCGGAAAAGGTGTATGGAAAGTTGGAAAAAATTCTAAGATCTCATATTGATCCAAAATTGACATGGGATCAATTTGACGTGGAGATTTTTACTTCTGCCGGTAATGTTCTCAAAAAAGAATTATTCATAATAAATTTTCAAGTGTTCTAATGTATAACGACGATGTAAATATCGATTTTATGATAAATTTGTTGAGTAAATTCGTGATTTTATTCGTTTTAATTTATTGTGGATTTATGTCTTACAGATAATTATGAAAAGGCCCAGAGGAGACTCAAACGTTTGTATAAAAGACATTCAGATATTGAGTCAAATACTTCTGATGGTGATGAAAGCCAACAAATTTTAATTTCAAAGAAGCGTGCTGCACGTATGTTAAAAAATTCCATTTCGTTAAGATCAATAGCTGAAACGAGTGAAGATGAAAATGACAGTGCAGTGATCAACTAACTGTCTGGGGTGAATTATTGCAATGTAATACAACCACGTATTGATGCAGAAACAACAAACTCTGCAAGTCTTTCTCAGAGACTTCCACAAACCAAAGGAGAGAGAAAGCTCGAGTTGCAAACACAAATGCAATCACTACGTGATGGAGGAAAAAATGATCCGTTAAAAGGTATGCTGAACTCTATGTTTTCTTTAATTAAAAATACATGAAATGATTATCACTTCGTTTTTGAAATTTTTTTTATAGTGTTCTTTATGAAGTATTTGGACATAAAATTGGAGTTATTGGTATTTAAACTGCAAGACGACATCCAGAATGTTAAGCGAGCCCAGCAGTATGACCTGAACAAGAAAATTGAGGACTTAAAAAGCTTAATTTCATTTCCACCATCACACAACAGTACTGAGTCTTCAGCAAAAAGTCAATTGGGCGTCGAAATCCCAATATCCACTTTGGAGAATTTCGAAATGTTTGAGCAAATGTTGGATTCCAAGGCTGAGAGGAATGTAGCGAACCCTGATTCAGCGTTGGAAAAGCAGGAAATACTGGTAAATTAATTGAAATAATTCCATGAGTTTACCGAGATTCTTCTTGAATTCTTTTATATATTTTTTACGAGTCACTTATTACCGAGGTGATTATCATTATTATTATTATTTATATTTTTCAACATACACATTTAAATGTTACACTGTTTATTCAAGCCCGCTGGATTTGACCCTGGGATTACAAGAATTCAATGTTTATGAAGAGAGTCTGTTAATCTTCGTTAATTTTACAGAAACGAGTGATGAAGATTTTAGCACAAGGGACCCATGAATGGGAGAAGACAGTGAAAGCAATTTTGCAGGGATTAATAAAAAAGGCTATGCAACAACATTACAGTGGTTTGGGTCGTAAGGTACACGGGGTTGGGAAGAGAAATTTTAGCGCTACTATATCTTTTCTTTGCATGAAAGGTGTGTTGCACGTTACATTTGTCTATTTATTTCGATTTCAATTTTATCCTTCAAATTTATATGAATGTCTTTTCTAAACGACTGAATTTTTAGCTCTCAAATTTAAGACTAATTTTCCATTGCAGACGTAATTGAGCAAATGTACGAAGGAAAGTCTGAGAAATTGAGAATCCAATCGGCAACAAGTTCATTTTTGGCACTCTGGCGAGATCGTGAAGGAGCAGGTGCTGAGCGCCGAAGAGCTACACGAAACGATACTTTATAAAATACTTTATATTCTATGCTTTATATCTAGGATGTAAGTTCTACCAGTACCAAATTTATAGCTTTCCTATAAAATATTATCTTAGAAATGTACTGCTGTTAATTGATCCTCAGTCCTTTCATAATAAAAACAATAATTTGTTAGCAACAAACTCGATCTACACTTAAGGTTCATGTACAAGGCTGATACCCAAATTTAACCCACGGGTCTAAATCGAGGATCAACCAAGATAGGTCCAAGTCTGGTGACCACGCTCGATCGAACCCTCACAGTCAGGCTTGGCCCAAGCTTGGCGTTCGAGCTCGGATTAAGCTTGACGTACGAGATTGAACCGAGTTCGGTGGTCAAGCTTGAATTAGCGTTACAAATCGAGGACTTACCAAACTAGATCCAAGCTTGGCGTCCAGGTTCGAACCGAGCTAGATTAGTCTTGGTCCAAGCTTGGACCAGGGTTGGACCAATGGTAAATCCCCACCTGGGTCATGGCTTTGGCAGGTCTCGTCACCTGTTGAGAATTATCGTTCCGCGATTTAACGACACTTCTCGTTTGGACGCCGGACCAGTGACAGCAAAACTATTAGTTGTAAATTTTGATTTTTGTGGAGACGTTTTCGGGCGAAGGGAAAAGACCACGGAGGATACAGACGAGTCTGGGAGATTCCTCACTGCTCTGGGACCTCATTTAATAAAGTTCGGTGAGCGGTGGATTTATTAAAAAGTGTTTATTGTATTTCGAAGCATTTTTGAATTTCTCGTTCTTGTTAATTATTGAACTCATTGTCCATGGCATTGGCGCCATTTTCGAGTATTCCGATTTCTGGTTTGTTTAGTCTCGTTCGGTAGAGTCATTATAATTTTGTTAACGTTAAATTTGAATGACTCGTTGTGATATTGAGTTTTCCTTGACTTAGAAATATCGTGGCCTTAACTGAGTAATTTAACGACTCTTGCCTCTCTCCTATATAGTATATTTGGAATTTATTGTCGCCTCATTATCGATTATCTTTTGTTTGGCGAAATACCGAATTCTCGAGGTCATTGATATTATCCTCGAGATTTCAACCTCATATTTATCGTGGTCTGTGTAGCCACGAAATATTTTTTTTGTGATAAATGTAGATTAATTCCTTGTGATAAATGTAGATTCCGATACTGTATAGAAATTCTGACTTAACAATTACCAGTTGTTTTACCGATTCATTAGAATCTTTATTAAAATTTATTTTCTTTGTTACTGAGGAGAGCATGAGCTACAAGTTAAAAGAAGTCGGGGATTTTAAGATATTTATTTTGTTTCTTTTTGATAATTTCGAAAATATTAAATTATTAATTTGTTACTCCGCAATCATTGAATTTGTTTGAGTTGATTTAATCCAGCCATTTCAGAATTAAGGATAGTAATTGGAACCCAGCCGCCTCCGCGGGTGATATACTGACTAGTTGGCAACTGCCCTTTTTGTTGTTCACCTTTTGAAATTTTTGGCCGTTTTATTGAAAACGTCCTGGCGCCTAACTTTTGTCGTTTTGGATTTGGTCGCCGAGGACTGCGTATATTTTTCCCTTCTTCCGCGGAGGGGAAAAATACGTCACAGAGTTAATGACAGTAATGAGCTTGAACCCTTCGTGGGAATTTCGGTCCCATTGACATTGCCGGATCGTCCGACCAGAGGTATTTTCAAGGGCGATTGTGCAACGTCTATTAAAAAAAAAATAGATTTTCAGATATTTGACAGTGACGAGCAGTTTAAAATTAGTAGCTGTGAGGAGAGAGAATAAGTAGTGAAGTCAAAAGATGAACTAGATAGCCGAATACCAGTTGTCACTTTGGAAAGGTATTTTATCTTACTTTGAGCTCGGAGCCTGCCCAACAGCCCTGGACCTCATGACACGAATGGACTCGATAATTGCCGAGAAACTCCAGCCATATACGGATGGCAAGATTGCTTAGCTACTTGCCTGGGTGTAGCCTTCTTGGTAAGCGTGTTCCTGAATCTAGCAGCCAACTGACAGGAACCAGGTTTGAAAACACGTTTGGAAACAATCTTGGGTGGATTAGCCAATTTCGGTATTTCGACCTGTTTTCGTTTTTTCAAACTCTATTATACTTCTCTGTCTCGTCGTCGAGATCCATTATGGTAGTAACGCTTTACTACGCGGTCTCACAGTTTTTCCCAAGCTTAAAATTCAAAATTTTGCTTATTCGCGCCTTCCGGGACACCAGGTTGGTATCGTGGCGCTCCAGCTTCATTACGTTTTTCTGTGCGGTCTCCAGTAGTCCAGGAAAATTTTATGAAAGGAAATTAGCAATAAAAAGCAAATTATTGTCTAATTAATCCCACCATGAGTTCAGCAGATAGGAGTCATAGACGCTATAGAAAGAGACATCGCGACAACGAGAAGGATTACATCGATATCTTCAAACGGATTCGTCGTTTGGAACATGAGGTTGGGCCCGGCCGATCCAGACCATACAAACGCACGAGACGATCCCCATCACCAGAGCATTCAGAGTCATCTGACAGCTGCAGATCATCGCCTTTCCTTCGTGCCAGAGGGAAGAGATGCTATGCATCCAAATACCAATACGGCGTTGAGCGTGTCCCAAGAAGCACGACGCGTCTCAGGTATGACAACGCGCCCAGGTCGAGTTCAAGTCGATCCAGCAGAGAGCACTCCAGATCTGAGTCGCCCTGCCTCAGACTTGGCAACAAGGATGTTAATAGGAGGACTCAGCACTTGAGAGTGGATAATAACTCAGGTAAATCAAGTCAGTTACCCACCCGAAACCCACCATCTCGGACAATCAGTGCTGAAGTGCATGCAGCCAATACATCAGCCGAACAAGGCGATGCTGATGTTACTGAGATATCCGGGGTCAGTGATCAAACACTATCCGAAGATTTGTTGAGCCTTCTAGGTGAAATTCCCTCGAAGGAGGTGGAGAATGGACCAGAGATCCATTCCGCCATTGAAGCACGCTGGTCCATAATTCTAAGAGGGATTAAAGAAGGAAATTCGTGAGAAGCTGCTGAAGAAGTACCCTCCTCGCAAGAATTGTCTGTCTTTGAGGGCACCAGAGATAAATCCCGAAATTAAGGGAGTACTAAACGCTAATGCTTTGAAAAAGGACCAGTCGTATACCCAGTCTCAATTGTCAGCAGCAATGACAGCATTAGCCACCGGCATGCAAGTAGCACTCACAGCCAAAGAATCATGTGAACGTCCAGTGATTGACATCAATTACATGCAGATGATATCCCCATTGAATGATTCCAGTTGGATTCGGGCAAAGCTTCATCATCAAATCTCATTGGGTAGGCGTGCCATTTTCAAACCAACGTTGAATCCACTGATTAAAAAAGCGGTCAATCAGAACGATAAGCTGGATGAATTGCTGTTCGGAAGAGCCTTTACTGATGCCCTGAAGGCAGCTGAGACGGTGGAAAAGTCGTTTAAGGTCATCTCCAAGTCATCGTTAGCACTTCGGCCCCAAAAATCACGATCAGAATACACAGCTTGTCCAGTAAGGAACCCACGTCAAGACAGGAGGAAGCCATCATCAGTCGGTTTAAACTCCAAGGGCCCCTCCAGGAAGGCTTCAACATCCAGCCGCCAGAATATAGAGAGGGAGGGGCGTCAGACCAGGAACCCTCGGCAGGCGAGACACTAAATGTAAGAGATGTCGCAGGGAGACTAAATTTATTTCTTCTCCAATGGGAATCATTGACGTCTGACCCCTTTATCTTGTCGGTGGTGAAAGGATATAAAATCCCATTTGATTATCGTCCTCGTCAATTTGTAGCTCCTTTAGAGCCAAAATTTTCAATAGACGAAGCACAGACACTCCATAAAATATTGACAGAAATGTGTGCAAATGGAGTAATAGATCAAGTTGATCCCTGTGAAGGTCAATTCCTATCTTCCTTTTTTCTAGTTGATAAACCCAATGGTAAAAAACGATTCATCCTGTTTTCCAATTTTCTAGAGCCCCTCACTTTAAGATGGAGGACTTGAGAGTGGCGAAAAGGCTACTAAGAAAAGATTATTATCTAGCTAAGTTGGATTTGAAGGATTCCTATTTTTTAATACCAATTGCACACTCAGATCGGAAGTACCTACGTTTCTCCTACCAGGGAACTATTTATCAATTCAATTGTTTACCCTTTGGCCTCACCTCTCCCTCATATGTATTTACGAAACTCTTAAAACCAGTGTCACATGCGTTGAGATCTAAGGGACATATGTCTGTAATCTACCTAGATAATTTTCTCTTAATAGAAAAAACTGAAGAGGAGTGTCTAATGAATATTCGAGAAACACGACATTACCTCGAATCTCTAGGTTTTGTATTGAATATCGGAAAATGTCAATTGAATCCATCTCGTAAAGTACAATTTTTGGGCTTCGAGATCGATAGCTCAGAGTATTGTATTAAGCTACGTATAAAGAGAAAAGAAAACATTATTAATTTGATCCAGAGATTTAAGAGATTGAAAAATTGTAAAATCAGATAACTGGCCAAATTAATAGGCATGTTGGTCTCTACTTGCCCAGTACTGGAATATGGAAAAACTTACACTAAAATATTGGAAAGGGAAAAATTTCTAGCACTAAAAACTTCCTCAGAGAATTATGCAGCAAAAACGAAAATTTCACCCAAAATTCACAACGAATTAAACTGCTGGCTGCAAGAAATATCATTTGCAAAGAAACGAATCAGACTTGATGAAGTTGTATTGGAAGTTTTCACAGACGCTTCCCTGACAGGCTGGGGGGGCCTTTTGTGAAGGCCAGGGAGCGAGAGGCTATTGGAATGAGGAAGATCGATGTCGCCATATCAATGAATTAGAAATAATAGCGGCCTTTAAAGGGTTAAGATGGTTTGCTAGAAAGTATTACAACTGTGAGATACTCCTTAGAGTTGACAACACAACTGCTATAGCAGCCATCAATAAAAAAGGTATTATCCAGTTCCCAAAATTGAATAGCCTCAGTAGAAGCTTATGGCAATGGTGTGAGGAAAAGAAAAACATTGTCGAAGTTTCGTATATTAATTCACAAGAAAATGTAGAGGCAGATGAAGAATCTCGTAAACTCCCCCTCCAA